TTTTGAGCGGGGGTAAAGCGGGAGGAACAAGGGGGGGGGGGGGGGGGGGGGGGCGGTTTCAAAGAGCAGCGCACTTCACTTAAGGTGCTTTGAAGTGTGTGCGTATGAGTGATATTTAGTCCAATTTGCCCAGGAATACAGCTGCACTACTGCTGTATATATATATATATAATATATAAATGATTTGCCTTAAGGTGTTGTTTTTCTCACAGTGACAGGTTTTCATGAAACTTTTACAGTTGAATTATTAATGGGAAGAGGTTCAAAAGCCAAAACCTGGAGGGGGTAAGGGCTTGTTTGGAATCAGGGATGTGCTTTACCTCGGGTGTGTGTGTGTGTGTGTGTTTCTAGTTCCTTGAAGTAGACATACTCGGTGGTGCATTATGCATAGGAATATACGGTTGAAAACATGGACAGGTGACAGGCTGAAAACACAAAGTGTCAGAGGACGGAGTGCGGCTCACCACCGTAGCCGCCTGTTTGTGCCTGTAGTGTCGATCAGAACATTTTTCATTAAACATTACATTAGCCTTAAATGTTAAACACAGGCAACAAATGATGAAATTGCTCATACGTGTTGTTTTACCGTCTGGCCACCAGAGGGCAGCATTGATACTTGAAAATTGTTGAATTTTTTTTTTTTTTTCTTCACTCCATGTACGTTGTTTCACACTCAACTCTTTGTGGAATACATTTTAGTAACACCCCAAATAAAGGGGAACAAAATGATGTCCAATTCACATTCACGTCTTTGTTCTCTCTCAGGGTGAGGATGGTTTCCCAGGTTTCAAGGGTGACATGGGAATCAAAGGAGACCGGGTGAGGATGGTTGCAGAACCAGCAGCAGCAGCAATGATATATAAGTATTCATGCAGATATGAGACAAATATGAACAAATCTGTGTCTGTGTTTTGTGATCGTGCCACAGGGTGAGCTGGGCATGCTCGGGCAACGTGGAGAAGATGGTCCCGAGGGTCCAAAAGGTCGAGCTGGACCCAACGGAGAATCAGGACCACTTGGACCTGCTGGAGAAAAGGTAATGCTTTTTTTCACTGCAGATTGTGAGGGCACCAGGGGGCGCTAGCTGGGCCTCAGAAAATTGGAGGGATTTTTTTTTTATAATCATTTTCCTACACCAAACACTACCTAAACTGCCGTTATCGTAGGTTCAAGAAAATCAAAAAGCCTAGTTTAGCATTGTTGCAAATTAGCAGAAAGCTAACATCAATATGGAGTAGCCAAGAAAACATTAATTTTTTTTTTCCTTCCTCTTAGGGTAAACTTGGTGTTCCAGGATTACCAGGTTATCCAGGAAGACAAGGACCAAAGGTGAGTTTGAGTCTCTGCTCGTCTCCTCCTCTGATGCGTTCAGGAGTCGTGCATGCCAGCGGAATTTACAGTCCTAATAATAAGAAGTAATTGATGACTCAGATATAAGAAGATATCTGAAGTTTTAAGAGACCTTTTTTTTCCCTAAGTTACCGTCAGATATAAGAAGATATCTGAAGTTTTTTTTCTAAGTTACCATTAGCAACGATGCTAACGGGTCTGTATAATTACACTGTTAGACTAACCAAGATATGTTGATGGAATGATGCGCGTCAGACTGAGGCGCTGTAGTCCAGGTTAGATCCTTTTGTATCCCATCATCAATTTTATTTTCTCGTGATTTAATCAAGGTATGATTGCATGTTTAAAAGCGAGAAAATCCACCAAATGAATCATCATGGTCACGCTCCCCACGAGCCGCATAGCTTTTTTTTTTTTTCTTGTTTATCTCAAGTCCCTCTACGTAACCTTTGCTTTGGTGACAGGGCTCACACGGTTTCCCTGGTTTCCCTGGAGCCAACGGAGAGAAAGGAGCGAGGGTAAGAAACCGAGTACACACACTGTGCCTGTCAGTGTACAGTATTATTATGATTATGATCTATCTATATATTTATATAATCGTCAAATAACAGCACACAATCTCATTAAAAGGACTTCAATTTGTTGATATTATACTGTAAATGACAACTGTATAAGGATTTACAAGTCTTTCCAGATGAAGCCATATATTTATTATGCTGCTACAGTGTATATGACATTTAAAGAAATTGTTTAACCGGATTTGTCAGCGGCCCTATGGATACATATATTTAAGAAACCTCAAATCGTTTGAGTTTCCTCATTTCACAAATATGCGCGGCGTCTTGAAAAGTCTCTCGAGTTCCCGTCAATTTAATCGGTAGACTTTTTAGATTCTAATCATTTCTTTTCCTGACATCTTGAGAATGAAACATTTCCGTTTGTTCCTGTTTCTAAAATATTCTGGTGTTTCATTTACAGGGACTTGCTGGTAAAGCTGGTCCCAGAGGACAGAGAGGCCCAACAGTATGTACTCATCGTGTTATCGTTTCTACGTAAATATGCAGTAAAACTTTCATGAACAACTGAATTTACGCTGCTCTGACTCCCTGACATGTTCTCTCCGTAGGGTCCTCGTGGTGCACGTGGAGCCAGAGGTCCAACAGGAAAACCAGGACCTAAGGTACGAATACTAGCCTGGACCTTATACCAACTTGTCAAGTATATAACGTCTGAATATTCTATTCATAAACCGTCATGTTCTTGTGTGGTTTTTAGGGCACATCTGGCAATGATGGTCCTCCGGGTCCCCCTGGTGAGAGAGTAAGTCCATGACATTTGTTGTCACTCATGTTTTTACTTTAAAATTTGTTGTCTCAACGTTTCTCTCTCCTGATCTTGTGTTGCCAAACTCTGTAATGAAGAAGATTTGTATTTTGATTGTTCAGTGAAAAAGGTTAACGTTCTGTTGATCTTTTGATTGGAGTCATTTCAAGAAGTGGTTTAAATGGTTAAAGTATTTCCACGAGAGAAAAGAAATTCAATTATATTACTAATCCGTGAATCTTTTCTACTCTGGCACATAAAATAGTCCTAAAAAGTCCTTTAAAAGTCACTGAAAAAGTGGTTTATGTGACCCAAAACATCTCGCTGAGAAAATGAAATAAAAATCATTTCTAGTCGGGCACATGAAATCATCTAAGTCATCTAAGGTGCTAAAAGGTTCCTTGGAAAATTCCTTTAAAGAAGTGGTTTACATGGCTAAAGAATTCTTGCTGCAAAAATGAAATAAAATTACTAATCAGTAATTTTTCCCACACTGGCAAACACACAAAAAACACAAAAAAAAAAAAACCAAACAAATACAAAAGTAAAATCAATGATCTGCTGCGTCCCCCTTGCAATAACTCTGTGTTCTCCATATGGTCCCTGCCCCCCAATTTGAACCACCAATTTCGGATCTTACTGTGATTAAGAGCATTTTTTTTTCTACATTTTGATCACGTGATCAAGCATCAAGAAAAAAAAAACAAAACAAAAACAAAACGAGATCCAGAGTCGCGGTACAAAGCTAGCTCTAGGTGATTAATTAACTAAATGAACTAAATTAATCTCCACGACAAAAGCCTTCCAGCGGCGCCGCCTCATTTAACGCTCCTTTGGACCTCCAGCGGTGCTTTACTTCACTCTGACTTTCCCCGAGTAACTAAGAAAATCCAACAAGTCGTGAAACAGAAGTGACAGCTTCAACACGGGCTCAGTTTGCTTTAACACGACAGGAGTGGATTTTATTACGACTCTGACTGAGGTTGATGGGGAACCTGTCAGGCTGCAGTTCACCTCCTCCGTTAGATAAGGCACATAACAAGAATTAAAGAGTGGAACCGAAACCAAGTGTCGGCGTCTCACGCTGTCCCTTCTGTGCCGCACAGCCGTCGACGCTAACTAAGTCATCCATCCTCATTAAAACGGAACGTTTCGCCGTTCTCTGTGATTTAGCCCCACGATTCATACCGACAAAATCGGATGTACTTACTGAAATGGGTTTTCTGCTTCCCGCACGTACCTTTTAATCCTGACTAAATGATTTGAAATAAAAAAAAAAAGAAAAAAAAGAAAAATACCTTGATATACTCAAGTAAACCCTTTTAGTTGAAGCAACTGTGCATCAGGGTAAACCGTGTGGTCTGGTCCATGTGAGGGTTATTTTTATTTCCCTCGGTCTCTGAGTACATCAGTCAATCTCATTTTTAGCGCTGCAGCTCTCCTGCTCCAAGAATTTCATCATCTGACATCATTTAAAATAAAAAAATTTAAAAAAAAAATACTAGGGATATTTTGGACTGTAAAATTCCACCGTTGATTTTTTTTTTTTTCACCGAGCTGACCTTACTTTATCAAGCAGTTTACGCGCTTACACTTTTGACGTTAACAAAGCCTGAAATATATTCTTTCAAAAGTGTAACCTTCCGGGCATTTCATAACCCTTTTCAGTGTAAGGGGAATCGCAGTGGAATAAAGGACAGAGATTTCACACTTAATTCCATAGCGGGGAAGTAAAAAAAAGCCTTTTTTTTTTTTTTTTTTTTTCACCGAGCTGACCTTACTTTATCAAGCAGTTTACGCGCTTACACTTTTGACGTTAACAAAGCCTGAAATATATTCTTTCAAAAGTGTAACCTTCCGGGCATTTCATAACCCTTTTCAGTGTAAGGGGAATCGCAGTGGAATAAAGGACAGAGATTTCACACTTAATTCCATAGCGGGGAAGTAAAAAAAAGCCTTTTTTTTTTTTTTTTTTTTTTCACCGAGCTGACCTTACTTTATCAAGCAGTTTACGCGCTTACACTTTTGACGTTAACAAAGCCTGAAATATATTCTTTCAAAAGTGTAACCTTCCGGGCATTTCATAACCCTTTTCAGTGTAAGGGGAATCGCAGTGGAATAAAGGCCAAAGATTTCACACTTAATTCCATAGTGGGGAAGTAAAAAAAAACCTTTTTTTTTTTTTTTTTTTCACCGAGCTGACCTTACTTTATCAAGCAGTTTACGCGCTTACACTTTTGACGTTAACAAAGCCTGAAATATATTCTTTCAAAAGTGTAACCTTCCGGGCATTTCATAACCCTTTTCAGTGTAAGGGGAATCGAAGTGGAATAAAGGACAGAGATTTCACACTTAATTCCATAGTGGGGAAGTAAAAAAAAACCTTTTTTTTTTTTTTTTTTTCACCGAGCTGACCTTACTTTATCAAGCAGTTTACGCGCTTACACTTTTGACGTTAACAAAGCCTGAAATATATTCTTTCAAAAGTGTAACCTTCCGGGCATTTCATAACCCTTTTCAGTGTAAGGGGAATCGCAGTGGAATAAAGGCCAAAGATTTCACACTTAATTCCATAGCGGGGAAGTAAAAAAAAGCCTTTTTTTTTTTTTTTTTTTAAATGTAGCGGCGCTCGCCTTTGTGCTCACTGTAATGACTTTATATTACTGGCATGTTCTCTGTGAGGTGATGAACAGTGACTCACTACCTGAAGGAGGTTTGGATCATTGTGCGCAGTGAATAACTTTTCCTGTGTCAAGCCGCATTACAATCACCTTTGTGTCAAGTTATATAAGGTCGCTCGCTTCACTTTTTTTTTCGTGACTTCATTATTTGTTCGTCTCTCCTCATCCGACTTCATTTGCCAATTTCAGGGACCTCAAGGACCGCAGGGACCTGTCGGCTTCCACGGACCGAAGGGCCCACCTGTGAGTATTCGTCCAAACCGTCAACATTAAGACGGCGCGGCGCGTGAAGCTAAATCCCGATTAGCCTTAATTTGTGTACATTAAAAGTCACAGCCAACTCACTTTGGGGGAGTTCATCGGATGCAGTGATTTATATTAATATCCATAACTCTGTGGAGGGATCATCGATCCAACTGTTATCGAAGCTTAAGTCATTTTCTCCTCCTCCTACCTGGACTGAAGACAAGTGGTAATTTCCCACTATCGATCCAGGGTTAGATTCATAGATGGCTCTTGGTCCTTAGGTTAGGATTTTGTTCTGGTGTGGTTACCAAGGTTACATGTTTACTGTACTGTGGAGCAATAACCTCAGTCTCCTGAGGGCTACACTTGTGATGCCGTGTAATGTTCTCCTTATAGTGAAAGCAACTAAGATTTTCATTTTCTACGCTCTAGGGACCGCCCGGGAAAGACGGGCTGCCCGGACATCCTGGTCAGCGAGGAGAAACAGTGAGTTTTGTTTGGCCCGTTTCTTTTCTCTTTTTTTTTTTTTCCACACCATTATGTTTAAGTGTCTTCTTTGAATGTTGTTGTCGAAAAACGACCCTACCGTACTATTATCGGCGACTCTGTCGGATGCCCATGAATTAATAGCAAATAACTTAACCTGTAACCTGATACTATGTAAAGCAATAATTAAGTAAATTGTTGTGTCTGAGTTCGGCAGCACCCCTCAACTCCCCAGGCCCCCATCCACAATATATCCCCGTTGCTCCTGATTATAATCAGTGATACAGCATCTCTCAGTGGGACGCTAAAGAAGTAGCTGTTTACAAAAAAAGGGTTTCACACACAGTCTGGTTTTCTTGGGTTGTGAGGACTTCAGGTAGGAACAAGGGGGGGGAGGAGGTCAGGAGCAGATAGATGGAGCGTTCGTGTTAACTTAGATAAATGACATGTAAAAGTCATGCATAAAGGCTAAAATGCTAAAATGCTTTAAGCCTTCTCGACACCATCTATAGGGAAATGTGGGCATTGCAGGGGAAAGGCAGAAGTATAATCCCAATACAAACCAATTATATAATTTGGACAAGTTTGGCAGGCCGGATTACAAAGCTGAACGGGCCGCATCCGGTCCCCGGGCCTTAGTTTGCCCATGCCTGCCCTTAGCCGTTGCTCTTACCTTAAGCATTACAAATGTATGCCTAATCCTAATCCTCACCCAAACACCTCACCCAACCCTAATTCTAATCCTGTCCCAGGACAAACATGTCGTCACGTATTACCATACGCAGAAGACGTCATTATTTTTACTTTATTTCGCTGGTTGTGCGCCATACATTGGATCGTGCTACATTCGCTATCTTTTGTGGGAGGATGTTACCACTGTGTTAGCTAGGGGACAGCAAAAATCAAATTACGTCGCGCCTAGGATTGGAATCCCGACATAAGTCGAGGACCCCTGTATACACACATATATATGTGCTATATATAAATGCGTGTGTGTGTGTGTGGCTGAGGTTGTGTAACGAGCCTCCAGCTCCTAATAATATCTGTCGGTCTTGCTTGAAACAATAGTTTCTGTGTTGTTTCCTGGAGGCGTTCGTGAGCTTTATAAGGAATGCTTCTATTGAATCGTCCTCAGTGATGCATAGATAGATCTCTGCAGAAACAAAAGAAGAAGAAAAAAAACAACAACTTTGAAGAACAGTCAAACAAAGAAAGCTCAATCTGATAACACCTTATTGCAATCTCCACGCTCCTTGAATTCAATTTCTCTGTACTTGGTATGCATCGGTGCACTTCCCTTTGATGAGGCACGGAGGGGAATAAATTCTACTAAAAGCTCGACAGATCATCGCCCCTATCATTAAAGCTTCCTCCTCCACTACCTGCCCTCCTTTCCCTATCGATGCGCACCACAACACACGAGTGCCTCTCAGCCTCGGCTGCTATTCAAGTAACATCGCAGGAACCTATCACCACAGTGTTTACGGCCGTAGATTTATGCTCCGATGAGAAGGTTTCACAAGCACCCAATATGAGAATTGATCACAGCAATAAAGGCGTTCAAAGGTGCCCAACCCCCCCCCGGCAACACACACTGCATTTGAGGAGGAGCAAATAAAGATTTGAATTGGTGTCTCTGAGGTGGGGTCGATGCCGTGAGAGAACGACCCCGGGGTTGCATCACCATGAATCACAGCACACTGATCAACAAGGCGAGTTAGGCTTTCAAACAGCGGTGGTCGGATGTTTTTGGAGAGGAAAACTTGGAAAGAAAAAGAAGTTTATCCCGTAGCTATCATGAATGCAGCATCTGGAGGTCACTGTTTTTTAAGGCTACCAAATAGCGAAAGGCGATAGCAGAATTGTTTTGATTCGATATGACACTGATTACCGTTTTTTCCAGTCGCTTCGGAGTATAAGTCGCACCAGCCAGTCAATGCATAATGAAGAAGAAAAACATATATATAAGTCGCGCCAGTGTATAAGTTGCGCCAGCAAGCTAGAGTGCCCTCTAGCGGCTGTCAGTGTGAAAATAACAAACTTGAAATTATATATTTAAATCTAAAAGTCGCACCTGAGTATAAGTCGCAAACCCAGTCAAAGGATGAAAAAAAGTGCTTACTTATAGTCTGAAAAATACAGTACTTGTTTGCCAATTTTTATTTATATTCTTTTGCATATTAGAATACAGTTAAAAAATTTAAAAAAAGTAAAAATTGTGTGTTCTGTTTTAATTCGTACATTTTAGAAAGAATAAAAATGAGTTAGTTTTAATTAGTTTTCAGTTTTATTTTTGATCAATTCCTAGACATTACTGCCGTCAGTGACATTCACATTCCGCTACACTGAAAAAACGACAACAAACAGAAATACAAATTAATTTCCCAGTTGGGAACAGAGGCCTCACAGGGTTCCATACAGCAGCACAGCTGAAGTGTTGAACAGCAGAGAAAAACCATGCAGGAAGTTATTACCCGTGTCAATGTCGTGAGGCATTTATTTAGAGTTCTGGAGTCCGGAAAGCAAATGGTCCATGTTGGTGATATATAGTTGTGTTGTCTCTGGTTACGTTCAATAAACCAGATGAATGTATCTTGTTGAAATGGCTTGGTTTAAATCTCACTGAGGGTCTTTTTGTCTTGGGTCTGGATTTTCCTTACCCTGTTTGTTTTCCGCAGCCCAGATCTTTATTGTGATCTGTACGGTGTTAACCGAACTAAATGTACAAATAGTATATTGTCATAAAATATCTGCTAGGTTAAGAATTTATCTTCAACCTACTTTGTAACAGCTTGGGCCTGTTTAGTTGAACACAACGCTTGTAAAGTCACAGGAATTGAAGAAAGACACTATATTATAGTTTATTACGGTTATTAACATTTTATGGTAACAATATATGATAATGTAGTCTGTTCTTAATATGGTTAAACTTTACGATCCTTTTTTTATGTATATGTACCAAATTAAATTCATGTTATGTTTCGGTTGTTGTTGTTCATGGTGTCAGTAAAACTGTTCTTATTTTTAATTTCAGGGTTTCCAAGGCAAAACCGGTCCACCAGGCCCAGGAGGTGTTGTCGGACCTCAGGTAATTTAATAAGTGATTAATAAAAACGCGCTAACGCCTTTAATAAGAATATCAGTACTCTTACGGTTGTGTTTCACTAGATATTTGTTGTAATGCTAATGCTAACACCGATGTCTGACATAACAGGGTCCAACAGGAGAGACCGGTCCTGTCGGAGAGAGAGGCCACCCTGGACCCCCGGGTCCACCTGGTGAACAAGGTCTTCCAGGTTCTGCTGGCAAAGAGGGAGCAAAGGTAAAACTTTCGTTGACTTTTCAGTCATGTAAAAAATATTTGGTTATTAGAGAAAGTTCTGGACTGCTCTGCTGGGCTGTTAACACATTCATTAGTTGCCATGGAGGCGTCTTGCTGCTTATATTTAGACACCCACGCCTCAGAGCCGGGATCAAATTTTTTTATTTAATATTTGCCGTTCTTGATATCATAAATTATTTAATTTTCCGGAAGACACCTGCTGCATCCACAATGAGATTTATATCTTGTTAGCATACAGAGCTACAGCTGACTCCGATACACTGCCTGAATGAGAGTAGTGTTACAGTCACTGTGCGAGATGCGCAAGGCGTCCCAAGAAGTGAGAGCAGGGGAAGCAGCCCACCAGTTGAGGGGCCCATTAAAAGCAGACAGCAGCCATTTCGCAGAAGTATGTCGCTCCTAGCCCCGTGTAGCACTCCCCTGCGCTCAGACCCTTATTTTTTTTTCCCCTCCACCATTTTCCCCAAGGAGACAATTTAATCAAGTGCATTGGCTAACTCAACACCCGGTGCCACTCACAGCCCCACCTGTCCTCCCCCCTTCTCGGCTCTGCCCTCCACAGTCCATCAGTATGCCAGGAACACTTTGTGGAGGGCTTGGCAGCCGAGCCCAAATCCTCTTATATCTCTCAGGCCAACTCTGCTGTGCCTCACAGTTTTCAGATAAAGCCTGCCAATATAGAAGACAGCAGAAACAAGGCAGGAGTAACTTTTTTTTTCTTCAGTTAAATGTGCTGATTTTTTAGAAATCAGTAAGATTACGCTGCTCCAGGTCACCAGTACTTTTGCCTTTGTGGAGGTAGAATGCAAAAAAAAACAAAAAAAAAAACAGGCTTTCTAAAGTTTGTCTAATGGTTATGGTGTGAGAAGGACTTCATTTTTTGTTTTTTTTTTGTCTCTTTTTCTCATTTAAAAAAAACCCAAAACAACAACAACAGCAAAGTGGCCAGATTGTTTGAAGACCATTATCTGTCTGTCTGTTTGGAAACAGCAAGGCATCGATTTTAATGAGAGGTTGATGCTTGTCTGGTGAATGCACCGTACCGTTTGGGGAAAAAAACACAGCTTTAAATAAATATATGGCTCATGGGTCATGAAATCGTTGCTGGCTACAAAACAAGTACTCCGCTGCGGCAGATACTACTACTTCAAATTCGTATTCAAGTATTCATTTTACATTTAACATTTAACTTACGTGGAAACGTTAGTTGCGAAAATGCAAAGATCTAGACCTAATTCTCTCGTAGCCTCCTTTGGCCAAACATTTCCTATAAGGCTGTTTATTTACAAATTTACCATATAAGACCTAATAAAGGAGAAACAAATATAAAGTTCAATCAAAATATAGTGTCGTTTCATAGAGAGTAACTCTCTGTGTGGTTTCAGCCTGACTTTACAGTCTATTCCAATAATAATCAACTGGTGGCTCGCGGGCTGAATCTGGCCCGCTGAACCATTCAATCTGATAACTTTAGACCAAAATATACATATATTTATTTCATTAAAATTAATTTAAAAGTGTCAAGTTTGGTCCCAAGATGTCTGTCCAGAAAGATCTGACACTTGATAACATATGTACATAGAAAAGAAAGGTTGTGTGAACCAGATGCGTCGTATTTTCTGGACTCTGGAGTAAAAGTCTCCAGAGCCAAAGCAGATACTGGTACACAAGCATAGAGTGCCCTCTGGCGGCTGTTAGTGTGAAAACAACAAACATGTGAAATTATATATTTGAATATATAAGTCGCACCTGAGTATAAGTCGCAAACCCGGCCAAAGGATGAAGAAAAGTGTGACTTACACGAATAGCAGATACTGGTAAACAAGCCCAGAGTGCCCTCTAGTGGCTGTCAGTTTGAAAATTACAAACATTTTCCCTTTGTTAGAGAGTAGCAGATACTGGTACGCAAGCATAGGGTGCCCTCTAGCGGCTGCTAGTGTGAAAATAAAAAGTAACAAGTCGCAAACCCAGCCAAAGGAAGAACAAATGTGCGACTTATAGTCCGAAAATGTAAGTTTTGTGTGATTGTATATTGTTTTATAATGCTGCACCACACCATGTGTACAGGGAGATCCGGGACCACAAGGACCGTCCGGAAAAGATGGCCCTCCTGGTCTCCGAGGCTTCCCCGGAGAGAGAGGTCTGCCTGGCGCCACGGTGAGAACAGCTGCACGTCTTTCCACAGCTCTTCATTTAAACGCGTCGGCTAATATAAAGTGACGGAACTTTGCCACCCACCGAACGAACCAGGAACGGTCTCCGACCGTATCGGAATTGACCCGGAGCGATCCGTTTGGTGCAGCAGAAATGTGAAGCGACACTAAACAAATGAAGGGGGCGGGGGGGGTGTACCTCCGTCACGTTCCTCCACTACTCCCGCCGCAGTATTATACACAGCGATGCATCACAGTTTCCCGTTATGGGAGGTGGCAGGTTGGAAAGTTAGGAAGTGATTTAGAAAATCTCTCCCCGGTATGACTCAGCGGCTGGGATTGATGTTTCTCATTTCACTGCAACTATTTGGGGGCCAGCAAAGCTATTTACGTTCCCTCTGTTTGTTTTATTTACTTAATAAATTATTAAGTGGGACACTTTGCCAATTAGGCTGCGCGTACTGATGCGACGTCTGCGTTCGCAAGGTCAGCGAGAGTCTGCGGGACTAGCGAAACGCTCGCGGCCACCGTGATTTACTCCGGCACGTGGAGCCAGCCAAGAGAGACTCATTACCCATACTGCTTTGGGCTCCTGTGTAGCCCAGAGGGGAGCTGAATGCAACGCAGAGCCAAGTAGGAATTTACATAAATGGAACGCAACGAGAAAATGACTGTATTGTAAACACAACCGCACAGATTGCACCCGTGTCTCTGCCTTCACACGAACACTCTTGTGTGTGAAGTACACACACACACACAGTAATATTTCTAAAGTCTGTTTAATACTAAAGTGCATACTATGGAATTTGGTTTTTTATTTGATTCGTTTCCTGAGAAAAAAAGTGTTTCTCTGGCATGTTTAAAAAAATATATATAAAAAATATTTTTGCGCAATGTGGTCTTATCAAAAATGAAGAGCTACTAACGATACGTAACATATTTGTATTTTCTGTTTCCCCAGGGTCCAGCAGGTCTGAAGGGAGGAGAGGGTCCACAGGGTCCGCCCGGTCCTGTCGTAAGTAGATCACACAACCCTCGAGAACGTTGATCTGATTTTTTTTTTTTTTTCACGTGAAAATCGATTAGATACTGTAGTAGTATATTTTAGATTTTAGATTTCACGGAATAGTCCAATCAACCTCCAAGCGGGCCTTGGGGGTTGATTTCCGAAAAAATCCGAAAAAATCTAATTTTTTTTTTGGGGGGAAAAAAAAAAAAAAATAAAAATATATATATTTTTATTTTTTTTTTTTTTGGAGCAGTTTGGTGCCTAAAGTAAGGCTTAATTAGACTTTTCCAGCTAGATAGTTGGTGCCAGTTTGTGAATTTATACTCACAAGCCCATTTGTTCCATGTCCACTGTACATCACACCGCAGCAGCTAGATGAAGTATCCCGCCTGAGGGCATCACAACCATTTTTTTTTTCTCTCCACCCCTGTAAAACTTGGGACTCGATGAATCTCTGGCGATGAAGCCGCTGAAAGGATTAAGACACAGACATGACAGCGTCAAAATCACACCACCTCAGCTTATGCTACGTGTGCTAGTCCTAGCCTGAAATGGCTGCACATTGTGCTCAAGTAAGAGGTGATTAGTTGATACGTTTTCTCATCACCACCGTTTAATCTCGTCTCGCTGCACACGGCGACTTTGAAGCCGTCGTGGCTAAGCGCCAACTTTGTTTGCTCTGCTTCGCTGCCTCCTGGCACTCAGATGCAAAGAGAAAATACAAAAAAAAAGTCAGGGAAGCATCCGCACGGTGAGTCAGAGTGTGAGGGGTTGCATCAGCACCTCTTCTCATCAGTCCTGGAGATGTCAGGCTGAGATTTGTCACCAGGAGACGCTTCGCGAAACGTATTATGTGGTTAGGATTTCACCTTAAGCAGTTTCTGTCGAAAAAGAAAATGTCCTCAATCTCTCATGGCGACAGGATTTGATTCGTTTCTGGAGGATTCAGAACAAAAACTGAATTTGCTCAACCTAACTAAATCGGAACACGTAACGTTTAAAAACGTAACGTTTACAAACGTCACTGTCTCTGATGTTAGCTCACGTATACTATATTATATATTTTTTATACTAAAATGATTCTGCAATTCTTGTTAGTTTCAAAGCAGGCCAGTAGAAAGTGAACTAGGTGCAGCGGTGATGTGTATTTTGGCCGTCTTCTTTCACAGGTTTCAGACAAATGCGGCGTGACACGGGGCAGCAGGGGCCGTGTCTTTGATTCAGAGATGCATTTACCCGAGCAGAACCGAACTGCTCAATACCACGGACCACAGATAATGCCCACTGGCTTCAAAGTGCGGCGCGGCTTTATTCTCAAAACTCAAAAGCCACCTGCTACTGCGCGGGCCTCCTGCTGCCTCCTTAATTATCACTCAGGAAATGGTTGATCCATTAGTGGTGCAACAAAGCTAATGGTTGCTGTTGACAGGGGTGAAATATCTTTCATCTCGACTGTCAACAAAACTTGCCTTTCGTTAATAATACGGGCTATGTTTCCGTCCCGTACAGGGTTCCCCCGGTGAGAGAGGAGCTGCCGGTCCTGCCGGTCCCATCGGTTTGAGTGGTAGACCTGGTCCTCAGGGTCCTCCGGGTCCTGCTGGAGAAAAAGGAGCACCTGTGAGTATTTTTTTGTTTTAATTTTTTGCGTCTTTTTTTTCTTCCCCCTACATTTTGTGCGAATACTCAAATAAATTCAACGGACCGTGTTGTATCTCTAGGGTGAGAAAGGACCTCAAGGCCCAGCCGGTCGTGATGGTGTCCAGGGTCCTGTTGGTCTACCCGGGCCCCCCGGACCCCAGGGTCCACCTGGAGAGGATGGTGACAAGGTCAGTCGTTTGTAACCCCAATGGTTCCTAAACATTCTTTGGCCTGTGACCCCAAATTTTTGGCAACCGCAGAGAAATTTTCTAGAATTAGTTTTTTTTATTATGCTTGTTGTACTATGTTGCAAATACAGAGTATTTGAGTCAGATTAGTGCACGAAGTACTCAAAGGAACTCAAGCAGCTGTCACTCGGTAATCACAGCCATCGATCAAGTTGCCTTAGCTCAGATATTTAAATAGGCCACTTTTTAAAATGTATTTTCACAAAGGTGAAAAGATATAGCTGCATAGTGATTTGAATCAAAATTTGAAAAAAAGATATAGCTGCATAGTGATTTGAATCCGGGTAAAAAAATTAGGGTAAAAAAATAATTTGTATTTATTTTTATCAATAACCAGCCATTTCAGGTAACGTTATTCAAAATTCCAAGCGACCACATATGGGGCCCCGACCCCAAGGTTGAGAAACACCGGTTTAACATCTACATCAACATCATAGTCGAGACTCACCCACACCCAATCGAGGGTGGGTAGCTGATCTAAAATGGTTAAATGAGCGTGTTTTTCTTCCTCTTCCCAGGGAGAGGTCGGAGAGCCGGGTCAAAAAGGAAGTAAAGCTGACAAAGGAGAACAGGTGCGTAATGGAAAGAATTGCCTATTTGGGCCTGCAGTGATTAAAGTGTTGGCGTTGCATAGTTTCTCTCTCTCTTTTAACCTTGGTGTTGCTCACATACTGTTTCTCCGCACATTAAATAAGGAGGGCTCTTTGATTTGTGTGTTGTGTTCAGGGTCCTCCTGGTCCAGCTGGTCTACAAGGCCCCATAGGAGCTCCAGGTCCTGCTGTAAGTACAGTATAACTGCATGCACTGCTGGGATGAAGCTGCTGCAATTGAATCTTAGCGTGAAATGTTTTAAGGCAAGAAAAAAAAAACAACCCCCAGAAATACAAAGTATATAGCCCAGTGGATGGATGAATATTTTCTTTTAAATCAATACGTTTCCATCTGGCAGATACCTGTAAAAATAACCTTTGGTTTTCTATTAAGAGTTTTTCTGGGTGAAATCATTACAACACCCCGCCGTCTCTAAGTGGACTGTGTTGTTTTGTTTTACTAAGCATTAAACACAAAATCAATATTTCAATATTTTCTTTGCGGAAAGAAATCTCTTCGGGTTACAGGTTACAAAGCAGCTACGCTTTTTTCTTTTCAGGGAGCTGATGGAGAGCCGGGCCCCAGAGGTCAGCAGGGTATGTTTGGACAGAAGGGAGATGAAGGAGCCCGCGGTTTTCCCGGACCTCCCGGTCCCATCGGTCTGCAGGTTAGTGCCACTGACTGAGTGTGTTTTATTGCTGTAAAAAAGCGGTCCCATCGGTCTGCAGGTTAGTGCCGCTGATGTGTGTTTCATTGCTGTGAAAAATAGAGCAATGAAATTAAGGCTTGGTTTATAGTTTGTGTTATCAGTGTTATCAATAGAGAAAAGCTGACACGGAAGCCAACCTTCAAAAGTGCATCCTGTTTGAAGGATGTCGGCCGTCCTTCACTCACAAGGGATGAGAAAATAATCACTGAGATATACTGTTGGTATATAAAAAAAAATGCCCACTCGCTATGAGCCTCAGCCCTGGTTTCATTAAAGTCACAATAAAAAAAGATATTTTCTGTGAAGCTGCGAGAGATTGTGTCTTCGGGAAGGTAAAAAACAAACAGGGGAAATTGAATTGTGACGGGTCGTGACCTCTGAGTCATTTCATATGTTTAATATCTTAACACAATGTTTTATTATTACTGGGGCTGTCAAATGAGTAACACATTTGAATCAGTAATTGAAGGCTAGTTATCACAATTAATCGCGATTAATTGAGATAAATTAACATTCCAGATAATGAAAAAAACAAAGAAAAAACAAATTGATGAAGTTGATAAACAAAAAAAAAAACGCTTTCCCACAATCTGTATAAATACCAACATAATATCAACCGGGTACTAGTAAGTAAAATAAAAAATTCTCGATATACAGTATGAGTCATTTTGACCAGGGGTTAATGTGCGTTAAAAATGGAATCTTATTCATCCTCTTATTCAAGTAATTACCACAGCTAACAATAATCAAATTTGACAGCCCTAATTACTGCTACAATAAAGTGCCAAACGTACCGTTCTTCCCGCTAATAGTTTCTTACTAATGTTCGAGTGACAAGAAGAAAGGTTTTGATAAAATCACGCAGACCAAAAGCTCTTTGTTTGACGGTGCTATTCTTTTACCGCAGAACAGTATTCGGTGGACTTCAAATGGAAAGTAATACACTTCCCCAACGCCGTTTCATTAATTGCGGCGGCTGACCAGCTCCGACTGTCAGTTCCACGTCGAACCCATTTACCGTGGTGCATAATTAGAACCGCCGCTAACGATCTCAGCCTGGAAGCAACCTTTAGACAGATGAGATATCTCAGCACGAGAGACATTACCACAGAGCAACGCACACCTTTGGCCTCCAGGGGACGTCAACACACGTACAACAAACGGGGGGGGGCCGCACCATCGACACAAAGTGGCTCTGTTTTTTCTCTCCGGGGTTAGTGTTTGAGGACGATGTCAGCAGATGCGCAGGAATGAATTGATTCCGATCTCCTCGCTCGCAACCTTACACCTCACGCTAATGACAAACAACCTTGGAATCCAGAGCAGACACCCACATGGGAGGGGGGTCACCGGGGGGGGGGGTAAAGCACAACACAGCAGTGTAATCGCAGCAATTACTGGAAGAAATGCCAGTGATCAAACACAAATATACGAGTTCTTGACCGCGCTGCTCATTTTCCCCATGCATCAATGAGCAGGATTTGTCTGCACTTCCCCCCGGCGAAGACAAACAAATCCGGGGCGGCTGGCAACAAAAGGGAGAGCAAATGGGATCGGAGCATTGTGCTCCGTGTTTTCAGAGGCAGGTGCTGAATTGCAGAATCGAATCATTCCTCGCTGCCGAGCGCACGGGAGATTAAAGCTGCCTTTTGTGCTCAGACGTCGCACGGTCGACGCGTTCGGAAAGTTGTGCATCTTCTCAGTCGAACCGAAGACGACGTGGTCGTCTCGGCTTCCTGCATAAACGTGTTACGTGGTGAAATGATCCAATTTCAAACTGGGTCTCAGGGAGGGAAGGGATACGACTCATGTCGTTGCTCCTTTTTTTTTTCAAGGCCAGGAAAGTCGGCCGCAGTTTTTTTTTTTTTTTTTCAAGGCCAGGACAGTCGGCCGCACACTTACGGAATGTCTAACCGGATATTGATTCCATCTGACCGATCGACTACATTTTTAATATCACTCTGCACCAGCGATGAGGTCTAAGATATCTCTAAGATAAATCTGAAACAGAACCAGCTGCTGTGGCTGCAGTTACCGTGTATCACCACTACTTATTTACTGTACGCGATTGCTATTTGTGCTTATGACATCATTATCTTCTTTGTGCGTTTCGTAGGGGCTTCCCGGACCCTCCGGTGAGAAGGGAGAGATGGGTGACGTTGGCCCGATGGTATGAAAAAAAAAAAAAAAAAGCTTTTTTTAAAAAAAAAAAAAAAAGAAGAAAATCCTCTAACAATGATTTAGTTCTTTGCTAATATCACTTCCTTTCTCGCAGGGTCCTCCTGGTCCTCCTGGTCCCAGAGGTCCTCAGGGTCCCAGTGGAGCTGATGTGTGTATGACAAATGGGTTATACTGGTGCTACGTACTGATAACGATAAAATTTACATTTACTGTTTGACATGTTGCAGGGTCCACAAGGTCCTCCAGGTGGCGTGGGTCCAATGGGAGCCGTGGGTGAAAAGGTATTTAAAGGTTTTACGTTTTTTCTCTCCCGATCATAGAAGTTGGCGAAGGACAGTGACGATGACGAGCATTGTGATCTAATACAGCTATAGCAGATGTGGCTTGAAATGATTGACATTTGTCACACCACAGGGTGAGCAAGGCGAGGCCGGAAACCCAGGACCATCCGGAGAGCCCGGTACAGGGGTAAGTGGGCGATTTTTTTTTTCAGCGAATCAACAACAACATGCTAACGACCAAAAAAGGTGACATTGAAAAAAAAAAACATTTTCAACTAATAGTCCGTCACAGCTTGTCCCGTTCTGCTCTGCGCCACATGTCCACATGATGGCCCAACTCTGAGTTGAGCGTCTTCCCAGACTGGAAGGACAAGCCTGCTGCTCGCGATTTTCGCCAACATTTTTGCAAACATTGTGCCTGGTGGGAGAAAGGCCATTTCCTTTTTAGCTTCCACTTCATTCGCGTCATTTACGAGCTTGGGCCCCATTCATTAGGCTGCTGCCACGTTCGTTCAAGCCTGAGGTTCCACAGTGGAAACATAGCAGAACAGCAAAGTCTGATCACAGACTTGTTTTTCCAACGCAATCAAAGACTTTTTTTCCCACTGACTTTTTACAATTTCTTTTTTACAATGACTCCAGAGCAGGAACAGGTCGAAACAATAGAGCTCTGCTATATAGCACTTGTGATTTTAGTCCAGAACTAAAGATTAAACGTGTAACCTTGACCTTTACGTCGTCGTGGTTACGTCGCCGTCTCCCTGAAAATGTATTAACAAATTCTTGTTCCTGCATTCTGACGTACAGCATAAAAAAAATTCACATGGGAACTAGTTAGTTAGCTAGTTAGCTAGTTAGCGAGCGGAGTGGAAAAATACGTCGGTTTTGTTTATATTTGCCGATTGTACGCCAAACATTAAATCATATTGTATTCATCATTTCACAAAACTATTTTTAATACACGCCCCCTTACATATAAGAATGTAGTTGTTAAATTAAATTAATATCTGCTTTTTTATTTATTTTTTAATTTTTTAATTTTTTAAAAAGTCAGTTTATAACAGACAATTTAAAAAATAATCTTGAGTTTATGGTTAAAAAACAACATATACTACCTCATTTTTACTGCTACATGCTTTAAGTAATGACACTGTGCTCCTCACCCCTCAGGGACCCAAAGGTGAGCGAGGAGAGAAGGGAGAATCCGGGCCTCCCGGAGCCGCTGGACCTGCTGGTGCCAAAGGTCCCCCCGGAGACGACGGTCCAAAGGGAAACCCGGTAGGCTTGCCAGATCTGCACTCAGATAGACAAACAAATGTTTTACTTTAAGGTATTTACAGTGTGCGCGCACACACACACACGCACGCACACATCCTGGTGGCAGGCAGTTTTACCCCCTGAATATATTTGAGGGCTAAAAAGCCTTTTTATTGCAGCAGATTATATTTTATGCCACCGTGTTAATGGAATACAGTGAAGCTCTTTCCTGGAGATTTGCAGCATCATCATTAAGTTCATCAAACCGTTTTCACTGCCTGAAACGCGGCGGCGCGCTGGGCCTAAATCACCGGCTAAATTACCAGCCGTGCTCTCAGCGCTTGATCTCGGGGAGATTAAATCTCACCACTGGCAGTTCGCACATTCACGCAATCTCATCTCCCGTCTTTTAAAAGGGCCCCGTCGGATTCCCCGGAGACCCCGGTCCTCCTGGAGAACCTGGTGTTGCTGTAAGTACGAGCTGTTGGAAGTTTTCTCTTTCATGTAAAGGAAGATCCCCAATAACAACGGGTGGATTGTTATCATCACGGCACGGCATCATTAATCACGTGATTCCGCCCTTTTGTGAGATTAATTTACCGAAACAATTAACGCAACTAACGTGTTCAACATCCGACCGTTGCAGGGCACCGATGGAGAATCTGGAGAGAAGGGAGACGACGGAGAGGCCGGTCAAGCGGTGAGTTGTTCTTATCGTTCACATGTGTTTAAGATCTCATGCTATTTATAAACATTAGTTCACTAAAGGGACATTTCGCATTTCGTTACTGCTCCATGTTTCTGTATGAAGGGAAAATTATGCACAGTGATCCCCTCTCCTATCGCGGTAGTTGCGTTCCAAGACCCACCGCGAAACGGCATTAGGAAGAGAACAGCATGCTCTGTTAGCCAACTATCGCGGTAGTACGCATTGTATTAGCCAATAGTATACTGCGTACGATCTCGGCTAGGTAAACAAAGCTACCGCCGATCGTTCGCAAATGCGCTTATCTCAATTTCAGAACGAGAATCCACATTTTTAAAGCCAACACTTTCGTATGTATAAATATCTTCGATTGTTTTTTTTACTTTAGTTTTTGCTATATTTCGCGATATAGCGAAACTTTCGCGAGATCGGATTAAAAAGAAATCCGTGACGTACTGAGGGAGCGAAAGGAGAATCGCGATATAGAGAGGGAACACTATATTTTATTCTATTTACTGACGTCGCCAATAGAAAAAAAAAAAAATTATTAGGTGAATTATTTACACTGGGCCATTTTAATTAATGTTTTCCACCTCATACCCCCGGGTGTTGTTTGAACGGACTTTCATTATCTGCTCGGCAGATTCATTAAGTATGATTAGATGAGGTGAGCGAGCGTAATGTGCTGACCTCTTGTAACGTGCAACAAATTCAGGCCCCTGCACTTCATAAAAATTAGAAACCACTGGAGCAGCAGCAATAGCAGCAGCAGCTAATATGAGTCCAAGTCGTATTAACATTAATGCAATCAACTCAAGGTCTGCTGAGAACATCATCATGTTTAGGGAAGAAAGTTGGACTTGTTGTGACCTCTCGGTGGTGGATGGGCGGGTGTAGATGGAGGAATGAATCCTTATCTTTTGTGGTTCCAGAGTGTAGCGGTTAGCTTGATAAATGTATGATGGATGGTTGATGGAGGGGTGAATCCTTATAGTCGAAGGTCCTGGGTTTGAGCCCCAGAGGAACCACATACTTAGCGCCCCCTCTGGCAGCTGGTCTGCCGTTAACACAACAATGAAGTTCAAATGATTATCATTATTTTTTCCACATTAACAGGGAAGCCCATACGTCAGCCAATCAATTGCCACAAAAGTCAATATATAAATAAACTTGCAACCCCCTGCCATTAGCTCACAGATGGTTGGACACACCGTGTTATTATTCAAGGCGACGAGGTGTGTAATCCACCTCAGAGTTTGGCCTCCGCTGTTTTTGATTTTTTTTTTTTTTTTTTTTTTTTCTGGGGGTTTCCAAAATTATAAAACTCCCCCTGGGGCAAAAAAAAAAAAACCCCT